GTGGTGCGTCGGTGCGCGCCCGGGATCAGAACCCGGGCCGCCAGTAGCGGAGCAGAGCACTTAATCGCTAAGCCACGGGGCCGGCTTGAATATTTCTGAATGATCAACAGCTTCTTATTTCAATGGTGGGATCATTTAAACACATCAGAGAAGTGAAATGTGTCAGACGACAGGGCGCTTTATATTTGTTTCGAAAATGTTTGGGTATAGTTCAGTGCAACTGAACAAACACCCTATCCTATTAGCGAAGAAAGTAAGAGGAAGAGCTGTAAGTGATGCTTTTTTTCCATAAAGAAATAACAATTCTTTGCTCTTGTACAGCACCTTGCACTCAAGGGATTTCAGCCCATCACTTTATGATCATGAATTCACTAACATGCCCACAGCACATCTGTGAAAAATAGACTTTATTACCGTTTTAGAGATGAACAGAATTGAGAATTGGTGGCAGGGAATTGAATATAGACACAAATTTCAAACATACAGTTTGTGGCAGGCAGAAAAATGGCCCCTCAAAGATTGTCCACATCCTAATCCCCAGAGCCTGTGAATAGGTTAGGTTACAGGACAAAGGAGAATTAAGGTTGCAGATATAATTAAGTTTGCTAATCAGCTGATCTTAAAATAGCTAGAGCATCCTGGATTATCCAGGTGGGCTCAATAGAATCACAAGGATCTTTAAAAGTGGAAGAGGGAGGCAGAAGAGGTGATCAGAGGGACATGGTAGGAGAAACGTTTGACCCACTGTTGTTGGCTTTGAAGGTGGAAGAGGAATGTGGGCAGACTCCAGAAGCTGCAAGAAGCAAGGAAACAGATTCCCCCTCAGGGCCTGCAGAGGGAAGGCAGCCCTGCCCGCACCTTGACGTTAGCCCAGACAGATCCACGTTGGGCTTCCTACCTACAGAACTGTAACATAATAAATCTGTGATGTTTTAAGCCACCAAGTTTGTGGTAATTTGTTATAGCAGCAATCAAAACTAATAGGCAGCTGGTTGATCAATTAGGAGCAATTAATACAAACACAATCATTATGAGACGATAAATAATCAATTTAAGCAACCAAAGAATAACATTTAACTTGGAAATGCAAGTCCATTTTGAAGAAATAAAAGTAGAAGCACACGGATTCCTTGGCATAAAAAAGATGGAAAAGGAAATATGTAAGAGGAATGATTTTTCTCTTCCACTAGAATACTAGAAGAGAAAAGAGATTAATAAAAAGAGTATATTGATCCAAAGGATGAGATAAGAGTTTTAAAAATGCTACTTGGCATAGCCTTCCAGAAGTGTAGGAATCTTTGTCCCTAGAGATCTTTAAGGTACACAGCGATGTATGTATTTTATCTACCTTGGATCGCCTGATGACAAGGGCCTAGATCAGACAATCTCTTGGGGCCTCCTCCAGCCTGAATACTCTACATGGACTTGAATCTTTTCAATTCAGTACCACAAATGTTTACTGCCCATCGACCCAGTGTGAATCATTCTGCTACGAAAAACCAAAGAATAGACATAAACCTTGACTTCAAGTTCACAGTCTAATAGTGAATGAGGTAAAACAACCACATTCAAGCTAGACAATGAGAAGAATCATAAGGGATGGAGAAGTGATGTATAGATTAAAACCCATTAAATATATAAAAATCACTGCATTCTTTTTTTTTTTTTTTTGTGAGGAAGATCAGCCCTGAGCTAACATCCACGCCAATCTTCCTATTTTTGCTGAGGAAGACTGGCCCTGGGCTAACATCTGTGCCCATCTTCCTCCACTTTATATGGGACGCTGCAACAGCATGGCTTGACAAGTGGTGCCTCTGTGGGTGCCCGGGATCCGAACTTGGGCCGCCAGCAGTGGAGTGCACCCACTTAACCGCTACACCATGGGGCCAGCCCCAAAATCACTGCATTCTTATTGATCATAAAACCAACAAACAATATCACGGGTCACCATTGGAGATTACCAGGGTTACAATGAGAATTTATTCTGCCTTTCCTAAGTCACTATACAAGGAAAATCAAAAAGTAAATAAGAGAAAATTTCTTCTTTATTGTAGAATTTTGGCTAAAAAATGCAGGAGGAATGATAGAATCAGATTGTATCTAAAATGTGTCTAGAATGTAAAACTGCCATTTGACAAGCCCTGTATAAAATAATGGATCTGGGCAATGATCACCGATAGATGCTAAAACTATTAAGTGAAAATTTGATGATGAATTTTGTAATGAAGGGATCAGGCTGAGGCCACCTACACATGCCAGTCTTACCATCACGAAGGACGACATCAGCCATCATGTACCTCTTTTGTGAGAAACACACAGTACCACCTATAAAGTATTATTTCCCCCCAAAAGCTGAATCCAAATCTAATACAGCCTCTAAATCTAAATATCTTTAGACAGGAAATACAGGCGATAGAGGAGCCAGTTCAAAACAAAAACGGAAGCAACCAGCTAAATACAGAATGTGGACCAGGATGTATAACCCAATTTCTTCAGCAGATCAATGACATTTAAACGGGAAGGGAGAGAGGATTGTTATAGAATAAAAGAGACTTAGAGACATAGCCACCAAATGCAATGTGTAGACCTTGTTTGGATCCTGACTCAAAAAAGAAACAACTCTAAGAAGGCATTTTTAAGATCACAGACAAATTTAAATATGGACTAGGTACAAAACAATATTATGGAATTATTGTTATAATGTGATAAAGGCATGGCAATATTAAAAATATTTATCTGTTAGAGATGCGTACTGAAGCATTTACAGATTTAAAAAATATGATACCCGGTTATGCTTTAAAATACTCAAGTTAAAAAAAAATAGTGTGTGTGAAGAATACATGGAACAAAATTAGCAAAACAATACTATGTATTCAAGTTGCATGATGAGACATGGGGGTCACTATAATATTTTCTCTCCTTATATGTTTGAATTTTTCCATAATAAAAAGTTTTAAGGGATGAAAACAATTGTAAATAAATAAAAGCGTACCTAGTCCATTTGATTATCCTTCATCATCGAACTAGTGAAAGGTTGGTATATTTGTGATAGAAATTTTCTCTAGTTTTCTGCACATATTTTTGTTAGCAGTCTGAATTCTATCACTTTAAGATAGAATGCCTTTCACCTCATGTGGAAAGGAAGTTTACAACTGACCAAATTCTCAACCTACATAACCAAGGAGAAAAAATTATCATAAATAAAATACTGTTTCTAATGCTCAATAAATAAAGGAGCAGTAGATCTGTTTCTATTTGTGTGGTGTAAGTATATAGCTTCCAGTCACTTTTTATAGTTGAGTGAATGTAGTGGGAGACTATTTGGAAAATTTCAAATTCCTTTTGGTTTATATGGTCAAGGTTAGTGTTGTTACATTTGCCAAAAGTTCCTAATTCTCAAATTTTTTTGGTAACAAACTGTAATGTGTTTCCTTTAAAGTGACTATCTTATGTAAAATCTAATCTAGGTATTTAATCAACAATGTTACTCTCACATTGAGGGCATGATGCAAAGTGAAATAAGTCAGAGGGAGAAGGTCAAATACCGTATGATTTCCTTCATTAAGTAGTAGATAATAACAACAATAAACAAACACATAGGGACAGAGATTGGATTGGTGGTTACCAGAGGGGAAGGGGGGAGGGAGGAGGGTGAAAGGGATAATTGGGTACATGTGTATGGTGATGGGTTGTAATTAGTATTTTGGTGGTGAACATGATGTAATCTATGCAGAAATAGAAGTACAATGATGTACACCTGAAATTTTTACAATGTTATAAACCAATGTTACTGCAATAAACAAAAAATAAATAAATAAATAAAAAAAATAAAAAAAAAAAAACAATGTTACTCTCTTGCCTGCTTTTACAGTCCAACAGATAGTTCTCTATGAGGAACAAGGGGCTATGGGACAGAATAGATTCATCTTCGACATTCCCTGCATATATGCATAAATGCCAGATCTGATCTACGATAGCTCAAGTTACAGGATCAAATATCAGAAGTTCATGGAAAGGCTTCTTAGCAATAATCCTACTAGTGGAGCAAAATATAAATTTCATCTTAAGCTGTTCAGAAAGCCTTTGGAAGCGTTTGTAATAGATGATCCCTTTTTAAAAAACGTTATCCTTTAAAAAGGTTTTATTTGCAAATAAGCTTTCTAGACAAGGCTTGAAGGTGCCCACATCCTCAAATTACATTTTAACATGATTAAAAACATTTTCAAAGGAATGTAAAATTTTATATTACATACAAAAACTTTAATCCTTTTGTCTGAAAGACTCTAAAAGTTTAAAAGTGCAATACATTTTCTTTCCTTTTTAAAGGTAGCTTCTCATGAAGAGACACCCAGAAAGCTATAGATGATATTTTCCACCAGAAGAAAGTAAACGAGCTGTGTTACAGAGATTTAAAGAGGCATTTTAGCTCATTTTTTCCCTATGCAATTTAAGTTATGTGGTCAGGATTGCGGGTACAATGGCAATGAAGATTATTTCTGCAGTACATGCAAAGTATGGATTACATATTTTTTTGATGTAAAGAACTGTGCTATGGGTTGCGACACTTATGAAGATGATTGTAATTCTGACATTTGGTTCGGCTGAGGATGTAGATGAAATGGTGCTGGACTTCAAGACTTACAAATCATGTAAAGCCGATTACCTGTTACCTCTTCTTCCCTTGCCGGAAACCCAAGCATCTTACCCACTACGGCCTCGGTGTGTCTCCCTTCCGCAGGAAGAGGGAAGTACTGGTTTGGTGACAAGTTGCTGCCATATCCCAGGAGGAAACCTTCCAGTTTTACGTTAGGACTTGGACGCAGGAACTTCAAGAAGATGGAGTCACTTGTGGTGTTGATGTGGACTTTCAGGTTTGGCTTTTTACCTAAAGATGGGAACGAGAAAATAGGTGGCTGTTACTTCACTCTTCAGCAGATCAGGACGAGTTTGGAGCAAAGGTTAGTTGCTAGAGGCGTTGTTATTGAGAGGCACGCTATCCACTTAGCTACTCCACATCACAACACAGCCACCCATATCGCTGAAATACAGGTAATCTTGAGATCAAAGAAAACAGACTTCATAACATATACACAGTCTACAATACGAAGTACAATTTTAGGGTTTAATAGACGGTAGTTTATTAGTGAGAAGGTAGATGGGATTTAAAGCTCTTTCAGCTAGCCACAATGGGTCAGAACCTTCATTTTACACGCTGTCTGGGAATGGTGAAAGCATCTGATATCTCCTCTTGGTAAATTGAATTACTGCCCTTTGAAACCCCCAGCCTCCGCCATGCTGCTCTCCAGATGTGCCCCACAGGACTTAGTGGTTGATAGAGTTGGAAAGGGAGAAAAGGGGGAGGGTTTTGGCTTCGGGGTAACTGAGATGGTAGAACTGGGAATGCTGACAGAGGAGAAAGGTTGAGGAGAAAGATGACTAGTTCTATTTGGAGCATGCTGGCCCAGTGAGACAACTACATGGAGATGCCCAACAGTGAGTGGAATATTAAGTGGGATGCTCAGGAATGGGGTACAGATCCATCTGGGGGTCATTAGTTTGTAAATGATCATTGCATGAACTTTCCCAGGGAACCTATGCAGAGCGAGGAGAGAAAGCTTAAATATTCAAGGCATTTTTTTTTAAACCGTGCAGGCAACAGGGGCAGATAATCACACTAACAAAGGGCCTTGACCAAGCAGCGAGCTAACAACATTGTCTTTTGTCTTGAGAGCCAGAAGGAGCTGGGTTCAAACCCCAGGTCTGCCACATACTTATCAGTGTGGCCTCTAGCTACTCACTGACCACGTTTGAGCCTTGTTTCCTGATTTGTAAATTATGGATAATGGATAACAATGTTTACTTTGACAAGTTGTTTACAAAGATTAGTGCAAATTATGCTACCTTAAAGCTGGCACATGGTAATTGCTCAATGATTGGTTACTCCATCAGATCCATCCATAACCCTTTAGCCACAATTCAGAAATCCAAAAATGGTTCATAGGGTTTTTGTAAGTCCACATCAACCTAATTTAGTATCAAAACCTGATCTTAACTGTTATGAGGCCACTTAGTCTTTCTTTAACCTCATTGAATAGTTATTGTGATTATTCACGTGTTTAATTGCAGGTAACCTCATTGAATAGTCATTGTAATTATTCACGTGTTTAATTGCAGGGATATTAATGTATTAAATTAAGGAATGTTAGTCAAGACCCCACTGAAGAGGTTACTTAATATATGGTTTAGGCATCCTAGTACATTTCTAAAATCCAAAGATTTTCTGAATTCTAAAACATTTCTGGCCCAAAGCATTCCAGATAAGAGATTGTGGACCTCAATTATTTTCTTTCTTTATTCCATAAGGATTTCATATTTTTTAAATATTTTACCTGTTGGGAAGATTAAATTTACTAACTCACATTCTATTTCTCATTAATCAAAGACATAGATACACACACACATACACACACACACACACACACACACAGACACACACCATTCAGCACGTCTGAACAGCATGGGCTTCCCAAAGTCTTCACATTAAATTTATACTCTTTTAGTCAAAATCAGCCTGGACTGCCTCAATACAGCTACAGAAAAGGATTCCATCAGGCCTTTGAAAGAATAAAAACAGCACCTCTTGGACACCATGTTGTGGGAACCACTCTCTTACCTCAGCAGCTAGTTCTACTATTCCTAGGTATATGCGGAGTAGTTCATAATTCCCAAGAATTTGATGACATTTTTATGAACTCACTTCTCAGATTTCTAGTCCTACACTTGTGGCAAAACTGAAACCCAGAGATATTGAGTGGCCTATCCAAAGTCCGAGGAAGACTCGTCTAGTCCAGCTCACCTCATCCACTTCTCTCAGAGAGGAAACAACTAAACTGAGGCAGCCACACCTCTGTCACTCTGCAAGTTAAGTGCAGGGTCAAACTGGGTCTCAGGTTCTCACTAGGCTGGATGTTCCACTCTCATTTTTATTGAGAGCCTCGTCATTACCCAATAGAGTAAAGAGTGGCCAATGCCCAGACCTTAAGGCTCGAGTTGATGCTAACTGCTGATGTTTTGTCCTAACTTCATTAGATTTTGAGGAGGTGATTTATACTTAGCTATAACACAGGTTTTGTCCAAGCCAATTTTTCCCTTCTTAGTTCTGTGCCTGGATTAACCCTAGAGTTACACCACCCTGCTCAATAGAATAGAACAAAGATAAGTCAAGCACATATTCTTCTATCTTAGAAGGTTATCAGGTGTCACAATAAGTCAAAACAGAGTGGGCCTGTTTCCAACACCTTGTTGGGGAGAAGACATTAAGGAATTAGTGTACTTAGGCTGCACGCATGTTTGACTAAGAGCCAAGAGTCACAGCATCATCACCTCAGACCTTTGCTCATAGATTTTGTCCTGATGTATCACATTATTCCTCCCCTCAGGCGTGGAAAGGATGGCTACACCAAGGGAGAAAAAGGAAGGCTGTAAACAATTACTGACCAACGAAAGTGGAAGTGAGAACACTTCCTCTGCATGGGCATTTTTATGACTCCAGTCTTTCTCCTTTTTGCTAGTAATTTATGTCAACAAATACATCAGCATCATGTAACTTTCCAAATGAATTGGCATTTAGCTGCCCCGTTTTCTCCAAAATTCCAATTTATACTACTCTCTAGAGCTAAACTTTAAAAAGTCCTAAAAAAAGAGAGAAATGTACACAGACAAATCCTCCCTCAAAACAGCATCACAAGCTTAATAATACTTTGAAACTATCATATACTTTGAGACTCACTATCTGGCCTTCATTATCTGGCCACACGTTACTTCATCTCTCGTTACTTCTCACCACATCTCATTTTTTTTGGCCATATCATCTTCTCACATTCTGTGACACACATTAGGCCCTGGCCCTACACATATGCTCACATTGTCACCCAGTATGGATCCCCTCTGTCTTCAATTTTCCTTCTCAACACACTCCTTTGCTCACTCAGTTATTACCCCATTGACCCTTTCAGTGCTCAGCAAAAAGGTTAAGCAATTTTTGCCCTTTCAGTCTGAATAAGTTTGTCAAGTGTTCCTTCAAATGAACGTTTGGACTAGTATTCGATTTTATACTCTTGGACAATTTCCCCAATATTTTAGTGTATATCTCTGTACATCCTAAAATAATTTTTAATCTTTGATAAACTTATCTTCACTCTGAGTAATTCTGGTTTAATACTTTGGAACACTAGTCACATCATGACAGTTATCTTTCAACCGTTAGTGCGAAGACCTCTGGTGAATGATGTAAAGTAGAGATAATAGAAAAATAACACAATACGAACTTAACTGGGAAAATATTTATAAGTAAAATGGCATATATGTCACCCAGAAAGCCCATGAGTACAGAGAAATAAGAGTACATTTTACTGTATCTTATAAGAGAAGTGGAACATATGCCACTCAGGAGTGAGAGAAAATGAAGAACGTGAACATTTCAGGAAAACCACCCTAGTATGGCTGAGGAAAAAGATTGCATATTGACAAAATGGAACCTTGGATCTGATTGCAACACGCTGGGGTATCTCTAAACATTTCAAAGGGTGTTATTAAATTCCAAAATAAAAAAAGTTTTTCAAAACAAAATTAGAATTAATTCTCTTTTAATTTTTAAAAGTAAATACATGACCTGTGGCATTAAAAACAGTGTAGTGAGGTTAGAAAATCAGACAAAACGTTGAGCACTGTGAGATCATGGAACTCTCTGGAGCAACCAGAGGTCGCCACAGGTGCTGAGCAAACATTTAACATTGACTCCAGAGTTCTGAGTGGCTGTGGTCAGTGTCAATAAAGCTCTGCAATGAACTTAGCCCAACAACATAGCACTTAGTTAAGCCAGCTAAACTACCACAGACGTCCAGTCACGGATCTGTGAGGAAGGAGTTACCATCACAACCCGTTCAGTAGGAGGAATTCTTTCATGTCTAACCTCTCTTAAGCTTATCTCACACTTTCCAAAATATTTCAGAATGTGGTCTAAAGTGTTGATATGTATTTGGTCAAGTTGATAAAATTACTTCTTAAGAAAAACTGCAAGATACTAAAGCTCTCTTCTAAAAGTAGAAAATATCTCAGCATAGCAGCAATAATTAGCTTATATGCTGTCAATGTTGTAAAACACTAAGAAATTAGAAGTATCCTAAATAGCAAGTTTGAAAATAAACCAGATCAGCATTAATTTCCATAAGAAATTAAGTAAAAGAATAGATATCATACTGATGTCAATAAAATAGACTCAATTTTTTCAGGATTGAAAGAATAAACCCCATAGTATGTTCCTCTTTTTGCACACATTCCATTTACACTACCAGCCTCTATATTTGTTCAGTCACTTATTTTGTTATACAAAGTCAAATTTTCTAAGATATCAAAATAATTAAATCAATCCCCATCAGTTCAGATGTGATATATGAAGCATAGATTTAAACAACTGATAAATAGGATTTGATCAAATTTTAAACGTTTTGAACTTTAAAAGAACTAACAAGAAAAATAAAAGGCCAACTACAGACTGTCAGAAAATATTTGTAATATATATATCTGTTAAAGGACTTGTATCCAGAATATTTAAAAGAATTATTTCTAATCAACAAGAAGACAAAATACTTAAGAAAAAAGGGCAAAATATTTAAGTAGATTCCTCACTAATGGAGATATATGATAAAAAACAAGATCATGAAAAGATGCTCATCAGCAGGGTCATCAGATGTTTTCTGTAAAGGGTCAAATAGCAAATATTTTAGGCTTCGCAGACCAGATTTTCTCTATTGCAACTACTCAACTGTGCCACTGTAGCACAAAACAGCTATAGACATTATGTAAACACATGGGCGGGTCTGGGTT